GTGTGTGAATGGGTGGATGACTGGATATGTAAAGCGCTTTGGGGTCCTTAGGGACTAGTAAAGCGCTATATAAATACAGGCCATTTACCATTTACCATTTGTATGAACTATTCCCCCAGAGATTCAATTCAAAAGAAATATAAACTAAAATGGGACTCAAATAAGATCAAATATTTAGGTGTCTATCTAATCTGTGAATTAGGCACATTATATGAGGCAAATTATGGCAAGAATAGCAACGCGATTCAAAAAGATTTGACTAAATGGGCACCACTTGTCATGGATCTCCAGTCTATATACCAGACGTACAATTTGGCAAAAGTGATAAACTAGTGAGCAGATTTATTTGGAAAGCGACAAAGCCAAGAGTAAGATTTAAAACCCTCCTCCTCTTTCTTTTCCTAGTTGGACTCGCCCTCATGAATTTCAAGGAATACTTATATGCAGCCCAGCTGAGATATATTGTATACTGGTGCTCACCGGACTACACCTCAAAATGGAAACATATTGAGATAAATTATTGTTCATCATGTCAACCACAAGCAAGATTGGGAGAAGAAACTATACAGTCTACACATGCAAATCCTATTACTGAATTCACTATTAAACTCTGGTGGGTTATAGTGACGAAGTGTAGAATTGAAGAAGACTGCAAACTGTTGGTTTGGCCTGCATATTCTCAAAAATTCCTAAGTGGCTAATGGGATAGTACATTTTTAGGATGGATTAATAAAGGAATTACGGCAATGTGCACATTAATAGATGGGAAAATATTCAAATATTTCGACAAACTACACAGACAGTTTGGACTGGATAAATCAGACTTGTTTCCAATTAAGACACTTTTATAATACAGGAATCAGGAGGAAGGCCCTGAGGGAAGGTAGCCAGATAACAGAAATAATATCAGGTGCGTATAAAAATCTTCCATCAAAAATTGTATCAAAATTATATAATGGTCTGCGAAATTTGAATAGGAATGAAACATTATATATTAAACAAAAGTGGGGATTTGAATTACATCTTAAATTGTCAGAGGATGATTGGGGATTCACATGACTCTCACAGCATAATTCCACTAGCTCTAGACAATGGAGAGAATATGGTTGGAAAAATGTAATTAGGTTTTTTATTACTCCTTATATCAAAAGCAAGCAGCTGAAAACACCCTAGCAATGCTGGAGACTATGTGGGGACTGGAACGCCACCATTCTCATGTGTTTTGGAAGTGCAAAAATGTCAAATCTTAGTGTATTGCGGTAACAATGAAGAAAGTATTTGGGTATGATGTGCCGTGCGAGGCAGAGTACTGTATTTTGGACTATTGGAAAAAAAAACAACTTTGGCCCAGAGATTCTGTTCATTATGTTCCTTTTGTGTTCCTTCCCTTTTTTCTTTTATTTTTGTTTGTATGTTCTATAAACTTGGAAAAAGTAAAAAAAAATAAAAAGTATTAAAAAATATATATTTTTGACAGATTTTTGAGCACCGTGTACCACATAAAATTGTTTCGAGGTCTGTAAAAGCACAACCAGAATTCATACATAAGGTGCACCGGATTATAAGACGCACTGTAAATTTTTGAGAAAATTAAAGGATTTTAAGTGCGCCTTATAGTGCGGAAAATACTGTACATTAGAGGCCAAGTAAAGCTAATTGGTTTCTCAAGTCCCGATTTGTAGCCTTGAGATGAGCGTTTCCACCGCTGCAAAAAAAACAAGGAAGGGCAACTCTGACTATGAAACCATGTGCTCATTGGCTAATGACTGACAATGCATTAGGCCAAACCGTTCGGTTCTGCCATTTTGAAACATGGTCTAAGCAAAATTTACACAATAGACTCTGTTTTATTCAGTATCACCCAGAACAAATGACTAAGCCCATTTATTCATGACCAAAGTGTTTACCAAGGTCAAGATAGAAAACCTTTTTCCCATAGTCAGAACCAGACACGGAGAAGCTGCATTCAGCTTTTATGCTCCTTATATCTGGAACAAACTCCCAGAAAGCCTCAGATCAGCTGAAACACTTAGTTTATTTAAATCCAGGTTGAAGACTCACCTGTTCTCAGCTGCATTTGAATAAAGCACCAAATCCACACTTTT